ATGTTCCCACGTCGCTCCTATCCTTTTCTGCCTCGTTCCCATAGTCTCTGCGCTAACGTTCCTTCCACCGATCGAAACCTCCCTACCGCGTTCCCAGAGGAGTTCATGTGAAAAAGGGCGGGGTAAGTGGGGTTGACTTTGTCATGAGGTTTTCATACTTGTACTTTCAAGAAATTCCCCAATACAAAGATGGGATAAAACAAAAACGGCAAGCATGGTGTGATTCCTTCCGACACCCTCTTCAGATATTTTACCATCGGAAAATAAATTTTAGTGTGGTATTTATTTTTGATGTCATTCCACAACCATGTAACAGACTAATAAAATATATCAGACTCAGAACAAGATTCATGTGGCATTTAAACGGTAGGTGGACATTCAGAGCGTGTATAAAGCATAATGATCGATGGAATTATTTATATTTATATCTATGTATAAACTTCGTGCAGTCTGTTTATTTCTGATTTTATGAAAACACTCTTAGTTTCACATCCGATGAAGCCAAACATTAGAAAGACTATGAACAAGATGCACTTTATGAGTCATCGTGTGTTTTAAGCTCGTCAAGGTTACATAGATAGTCTTCCCGTAACCACCACCCACCACCACCATTGATGTGCATGCACGCACGCACTGGGAGCGCACTTCGCCAGAGACGCCCATGCAGATGCTGCCCCCCGAAAACGTGTCATCAGGAACTCCCACATAAGACGTGACCTGGCGTTGGAACAGAAGAGAAGCGCGCGGTTTGGAGGCATCGGTGAGGGACTGGAGAGTAAGGAGTCTGACAAATGGCGCGCTAGAGTTGGTCTCCTCGCAGCACGGAGCCGTAATAAGGGGAGACGTTGCACACGCAGCAGCGATGAAGAAGGGAATCTTCGCCCACGTGGAACTCGTCCTTTCCCGCGTTGACAAGCTCACTTCGGCTTACCTGGCATACCCCCCTATAAAATCCATCTTGGGACTTTCAGCAAGTCTCACCAGAGTACTACTAGTACACCTGTGGTTAGTTAGATTGACTGTATATTTTTAGGACGTGATTATTTCCTGGGAACTTATTATAAAACACATTAGAAGGGCGGGGGGGGGGTATAATTCAATGGGATAAACCAGAGAGATACATTGGCTTTTTTCTTTTTCTTTTTCTTTTTTTCTCTTTCTTTTCAACACAAATAAATATTTCCTTTTATTGCAGAGAGTTACTGTACAAAATCCTAGCCAGCCAAGTTAATGACTGTTACTAGACGTAAAAACTGTTACTAGGTCCTACAAGCTTCCATTCAAGTTTGCTTTGCTGCCAAGATGCCACAATATTGTTCTTGCACCACTATTGACAAAAGTTATGTGAATACTCCCCAGCTTGAATCAGTTTGTGTTTCATTTGTTGTTGCAATTTGAACCATGAATTTTTGCTGTAATTCACAATGTGTAGCCATATTATTAAATTGGCCTTTTGATTGGTTGGATTTCTCAATCATCATTGTTTTTATCAAAATTTAACTTAACTTGTCAATTCACAAGGCCTTAATAGAACCAAGAGACATCTCAAGAATCTTGCAAAAGATAGACCTAGATGGATGCTAAATTTGAAGGTAGTTGCTTCTAAATGTTTTAGATGCAAGACACAAAGAGAAGTAGGCACAATATGCAATAGTGCCATTAAAGTTATGTGCAATGGATTTTAAAGTTGTTTATCAATGATGCTTTAGATATTGTGTTAATGCATCGCATTATGTGTCTATTTTTATTTTTTTTAGCTCAAATTATGGTTCATGGTTATGGTGCTAAAGATAATCACTTTTATAAAGTGGAAGCACACCAAATCTTTTTCTATGTTATAAGAGAATATAAAAGAAGGCCTTCTAGTGAAAGTTTGAGTTTGTAGAGAGGTTGTCGATAAATTGTACATCCATATAGCCATACCTACTAGTGTTCATCTATAGTAGAGCCATGAGTGGATTAAGTATGTGTTTCAAGCCATTGTACATTGTACACTCTTGTAGCCATATATACTAGTATTCATCCATAGTAGAGTCATGAGTGGATTAAATATGTGATTTAAGCCATTGTACAAACAACCAAACTAGATTTCATATTTTCTACACTATAGTTACATCATGTACATCATTAATCAACCAAAACAAGGTTACTTTGCTTAGTAACCCAATGAGTTGTTCTTGCAATGGTGATTGCAAAATGTACATATTTACAAATGATTTGAGAATAGATCTTTGGAACCTCAAAGTGAGCAATTAAAGTTTTAATATTGGAAGATCTCACAAGTATTGCTTCATGTTGAAGATCAAGGACTTTTTTCCTTACAATTCTTTGAGGTAGAACAATCATACATTTTTTTTTATTTTTTCTCAATAATAAGAGAATGAGGCCATTAGGCACATCTAACTCAAGGTTTGGATGTTGTGTACGTTGAGTTTATGACATCAGTAGAGTTTAATTCCACATATTGCAAATTACTTACATATTACAGTAGTAAGAGATCTATTTGACTTATTGATATGTGCCAATTGGGTCTCTCTGATAGATATACCAAGTTGTACATCTTTTTGCCTAAGACAAAGTCAACATACACATTTTTTGGATAATTGGGTATCTACTTTTATAATGTTCAAAAAACTTATCTTTATAGAATTATAAGCCATTGTTTGTGTATTATCTAACAATTTTTCTTTTGTTTGTGGTTTTTTATTGTTCTTTCAGATTTGTAGACATCAAATCCATTAAAAATAGGTATTTTTTCATGGAGATTATAGCTTCCATCTCTGATATTAAGTTTTTGAGAAATATTTTTTGTGACAACAACACAAGTTTAGTTAGTTATTATGATTATTATTATTTATGGTCTTGTACAAGTATTTATTTATTTATTTATTCATTTCATATAAAGAAGTTTATTCAAATATAACTTTGAATTGTAATTATTTGATCCATGCTATGATTCATGATGGATCATAATTATTTGAGCATATTACTACTATTATAAAACCCAACAAAATATATGTACATAAAATATAAAATTACTAAATAGCCAGTATATAAAGTGATGTTTGAGAATTAGCAGCTACAATGGTGTGAAGATGCTATGAATTGTTTCATTTCTATTTTATTTTAATTTTTAAAGATTGGAGAAATAAATGTTAGCACGCAATCCAGATAAGATTACATGTAGGAAGAGAAGAAATTTACGTTCTTTTTTGAAAATTTTGAAAAAGGAAGAAGGGTAGTTGAAATGAGGTGGGCCTCCTCTCAATTTGTATATAATGGATTCGGTACTCTTCCCGTGTTATCCATAGTTGCAATCTTGTAGGACATCAAAATACCCTGAATTCACAGTAATTGAGCTAATCCACACCAATTGTATCATGATATATTCTCCATGCATCCCCATCCCCACTTTGCTACCCCAAATGAGCTCAATCTACAACAAAAATATCACATGGCACGCCCATTAGCATATTCGAAGATTACGGATGGCTGAGAACCATTCCATCAGTTCTATTGGCATAATCGAGAACATAAATTTGGATGCAAAAAAGCCAAAAAGCAAGAGCAAGATTTAAAGCACAATCCTTGGTCCAATGCAAACAAGAGCACGAAACATGCATGCAAAATTCATGTTACGCTACGAGATCGTCCCGCGCTCGGAGTAGTAATGAATCGCGGAGGACCATTTTGCCGGGAGCCTCGATTCTAAACCTCTATCCTGTTTTGTGGGTGCTTTCGAATGACGTCGCAGCAAATCAGAGCTCGAAGAAATGCTTGTGCAAGTATGCCAAAAAATATGGAAAGGATGGACAAAGGGGCTTTGCTTTGAGGGGAATCGCCACTGTGGAGAACTGGTTGTTAAGCCATCGCAGGCGTTGTTCTCTGTAACGCCTATTTTGCTGCCCCACGGTGTCCACAGTGCTCCTGATGAATTCCATGGATCGTGAGCGAGAATTGCATCCAAGGGAAGAGGGAGAGGTATGGAGGCGTCCGCATTAAAAAATTGCAAAAAACCTGCAGGCTTGCGAGTGGAGATGATGAGCATGGACACCCACCATTTTCACGTGAGTGGTTGGATCAAAGCATACTGGGTGTTTTTCTCCTTCCTGTAATGAGAGCCGCATGCCTGCGTTGGCAATCACCAGAGCACCCAGTTTACGCAGAATCCACTCACGTGCGTCAGCAGCCCCGAAAAAGAGGATTTGCACAGCGTGTGGGGTTGAACTCCTTTGCCTAAAATAGCACGTTATTCGTCACGATTCCTCGATTCGACGCAGCGGCAGGAGAAGACCACGCACAACGGGAAGAATTGCCATGGTTCCATACCTGGAAAGCACAGTGCAGTATTTTTCGGTCCTTGTCTGTCAAACAAATGAACATTTCCTTTTCTTTTTTTTTGTGCCAGCCACTACACGTAGTTTGAGTGTCGTTATATAAGGAAAATAATTAAGAAAGGGATTTGCCTATTTGGTATTTTGATTAGCGCGAGGGAGCTCTCTTCACGAATTTGATAAAAAATGATGGCCACCTACAACTTTAATAGATATGGACTCGGGTAGAGTTGGTGATGGTACCGAGATGATTGGACCGGTCTGGAGGTACTCAAGATGAACTTCAATCGGAGTGAATCCTCCACGGGAGTAAAACTGGGGTCCAAATGTTGAAGTTTCAATGAGTGGACGCATTTTGTATAAATTTGGTGTTTTAATTTTATTTCGGTTATTCTTTATGGTAGACACCCTCTTCCTTTGATCCAGAGAAATTAAAAGGTTAAGTTCTATCTTTAAGAGAGTCCTGCCAGTGGTGTGACAACCAACCTACGCACATTATGGTACTGAACTTCGAGGAATCCATGAGGAACAAATACGACGACATATGTCAGCCCGGCATGATTTCCTCATAAAGGTCTTAATTCCATCAAATATAAGACTAAATTAGCGATGGGCCCAAGAAAGCTGATTCAACGCTGCTTTAGGCACCCATGTATTGCATGTTCTGGTTGCGCTGCTGGTTCCAGTCCTTAGCGAGGTGGCTGAGCGGTGGCGCTGAAGCTTGTCTAAATACGGATTATGGGCGCATGACCACTATTCAGTCTCTCGCTTGCACCTGAAGGCGGAACTCACTAAACGGACCGTGTTGTCACGCGCATCCAAACTGCGAGATTCTTCGTTGTTTGAATGAAGAGAGCGCCTTTCGGGTCACCTTTCGGTTCCCAATCTGTTTTCTCTCCATCCCTGCGCAGGCACAAGGAGACCTTCAACCCTCCTCTAGGTGCTCACTCGTGTTTCTCACCATTCCCGCTCAGACCCAAGACGACCAGAGCTGGTGACTTGCAACTGTAAACATATAGGATAAGAGAGGACCCTTCTTTATTCGCGGCGGTATTCTGTAGAGTCGTGTTCAGAGAGTGATATTGGGAGGGCGAGAACGATCGGGCATGTATTCGTTGTAGTAGAATGCCAACCTATGTTCTGTGTGAGGGTGCGTGATGGTGGGATTTAGTCATTCGAAGGGAAAAAATTGAAGAGCTTGGGCACGGAGATCGTGCACTACCAGGTAGTTAGGTGGTAAGCTTGGCTGGAATCTAGCCCGTAGCTGTAGTGGCTGTACAAAATGTCTAAAGATACGGCGGAGAGAGTGGATGTGGAGCAGCCCCTACTCAAGGAGAACGAGAAGGAAAAATCTCTTTCATTGATTCACCCGAATTGTCCTGGCTGTAAACATAGTTACTTGCAAGAACCTGATGCTAAGCTCCCGTTGAGGATCTTGGCCAATTTAGCGGCGCTAACGCTCGTCAATGGTACGTTGGTTTCTATCCTTCGCAGTGCATTTTACAACCGAGGCTTGTCTGGGACGATCCTACAGGCAGATGATTATTCGCAAGGCTAGTTTATAATAATGTTGTCTGTTTACCCATTCCACAGCGTCGAGTATTGTTTTTACCAGATTTTCCAGCGATTGGTTGTTTAGACTGTGTTGGGCTTATAAAAGTTGCTACGAGTTTTCCACGAGGTGACGAGCACCTCGGTTTTGAACATGCTTTTTATCTCTCCATTGTGTTTCCGAGGTACGAAAACATGATTTCAGTATTTCACAGTCACTAACCATGCTCTACGATTATTTTGCAGCTTTACCAATTTCGTCACTCTACCCATTTCTGTATTTTATGGTGAGTTGCACCTTCTCGTTATTAAATTATTCTGTCGCCTTGAGCTGCTTCAGTTTACACTTGCTACCTTCATTTCGAGATTTTTTTGAAGAAGCCGTTATCATGAGCTTGCACGACTTTCATGCAGCTACCGATTAATCTAATTTTAGCGATGTGTTGTACTGTTTTTGTTCTTTAGGTTAAAGATTTCCATGCGGCGAAATCCGAAAAAGATATAGGATTCTATGCTGGATTCTTAGGTGAGTTTCGAAAACAAACGAAAGGTTGATGGAGGCTGGATTCCTTGTGCTCCTATCAAGCAGAAACTCTGCCTCTCACCCGTGAGAAAGAACTCTTCCTCATTAGGTTTGGCTAAGATTTCATGATGATAGGTAGATAGAGGAAGACTGCCTCCCTACTTTCCCACTCTGAAAACTGACTCACTCAAGGTGGATGCGGACGGTGGATTGGAGATCCTTGCCACACATCTGGAAGAATATTCCTTGATTTACGTCTTTCAAATATTGATAGTAGGCCTCTTTTCTGTTTTGCTTGTGTGTAGAAGTCACTTCGTCTCTTTGCATTGGGAACCTAGCTTCAGACTGTCCACTGTTATTCAATCTTAGAATTCCTCATAAACACGATCCTACATTGTTGTCGATTTGTTCAGGATCGGCATTCATGGTGGGGAGGTTTCTAACCTCTGTTCAATGGGGAATGGCGTCCGACAGATATGGGCGGAAACCTGTCATGATTACTGGCGTCATCTCCGTGTTCGTCACATACCCTAATTTGTGTTACGTTTTGATACGTTTTTCTCCCTTCATAAATACTGGTAGTGCTCTCGCAGTAGTCGTCTTCTCCACTAATTTCACACACGGATACCAACACCTTTACTCTTAATGTGGCAAGGAAATGTTGAAGCGCTCTGTTACCCATTGTGTGAATCTGTATTTTGGCAGCATCGTATTTCATACGTTGTTTGGAGCAAGTACGACCTTCTGGATGGGATTGATTTCGAGGTTTCTACTCGGTTCCTTCAATGGCATGCTTGGCACTGTTAAGGTAGGCACGTTTAATGGTTATGACAGACGCAACAAAAATGTCTCTCGGAGAATTGTATTTCCTGACACTATCTACCCAGGTACTTGCCAGCCCAATGTTTCTTGAGCAAGTCACCTATTCGAGATTCCTTGCTGGAACTTATCTTTCTCTGTTGTTTGGCAGGCATATGCATCAGAGGTTTGCAGTGAAAGGCACCAGGCTATAAGTGTATCCATTGTACGGTCTCTTCTCACGGTCGTACCAATATGAATGAATTTGTATTTAATGCTAACTGGAGCTATATTCCTCCAGGAAAAATGTTTTCAAAATATTGCATCACTCAGTCTACTCGTAAAAAGATCGTTAAATGATGTCTCAAATGTTGGCTGTTATTTCTACTAGGTGGGTACCGTTTGGGGACTTGGATTGATTATTGGTCCAGCTATGGGCGGCTACTTATCTCAGGTAAGCTGCAATATATCACACGAGAAATATATTGAATTTATTTCATCTTTCGCTTCCACGAAACAACCAGGATATGCGTTGGAAATACACGATTTGCCTGGTGTTTTGGTCTTCACTCAATTGCAAGATGGATCGTATACTTAATTCTTTCCTTGCGTCTGTTTGCAGCCTGCAATGAAGTATCCAGAGTGGTTTGGACCTGGTTCATTATTTGATCGGTGCGCTGCATTATTTTTCTTCCACTTTGATTCTCTTATGTGATCCTGGACTTCGGGCTAATGTCTGCGTTAGTTTCTATTTTCCGTTTGATGATTATTTTATGAGGCTATTTGGCAATCCAGCAAAACTCCCTCACATGTGCCTGCGTTCTTTTGTGCCCGAAATAGATATCCGTACCTGTTGCCGTCACTTGCCGTCACAGCTATTTCAATTCCAACTCTCTGGATCACTTTCTACCTTCCTGTAAGCCGACACCCTAGCAAACTAATCATTATGGGTTTGAACCAGCTGATCAATTTGATTAGTTCGTGGATGTAAGAATCATGTTTCTTCTATTTTTTTTTGAACGAAAAATTATGAAAGCTTTTGTCCCAGTTTTGATGACCTGTTAATCTGGTAAATCGTGTGTCCACTGTTGGTGAACTATTCTTTGAAAGGAACGGACTCGTCTATTTCTTGATGATTATAAATTTCCGGTTTCAGGAAACGTTGCACAAAAACCATCATGAAGAAGTCGAGGAGGATGAAGAGGCGAAGTACGATAAGCCAGCGCCACTCGCGATTCCAATCAATTTGTCGCGGGCAGGGAGCAGAAAATATACAGTTTGTGAGGGAATCGGGAGCCCGGCCATGATTTCTCCATTCGGGAGCTTTGCTGAATCGAAGTTTGAGGACGCATGGCATCAGAATGCAGAGAAAAGGAGGTCGCAGAATTATGATCGGTTCCGTAATAGGAGTAGCTCATTGCGAAGCCGAGTCGATGGGGAAGATACTCATGACAGTGATGGGTACAAAGCTTTACCAGGGACGGATACATCGAATGACGCACCAGGTGAGGCAAATGATTTGTCACATTAGGGTTCTCACGATTTGAAGCAACATTCTTGAGCATCATTAATCTCATGCCACAATTTCAGCATCTGATGCAAACTTGTTGTTGCCCAGTCAATCAAGTGGACTCGAAAAATGTTGAAGAGAAGGAGAAACTTAAGTCCACTCCAGAGGAAAAGAAAAGCGATCCAAAGAAGAACAAGTCGTTGTGGAGTAGCAAGCCCCTCATGGGTTCCATTGCTGTTTACTGTATCTGGTCCTTACACGACATGGCGTATTCTGAGGTTTGCACTTCTATGCTTGTAAACTAGTTCAATTAGCGAGACGGCGAATCTTTGTTTTTTCTTTCTAGCCGAGTCCAAGGATTCTACATACTTCTTTCAACTGGTTGCTGTTCATTGTGGGGCTCTTATTGTAACCGTTTGATGCTGGAGAGTAATGTTGCACTATCGGATCTGCACAGATATTTTCTTTGTGGTGTGTGAGCCCAAGGTCACAAGGAGGTTTGGGGTTAACCACAACTGATGTCGGTCAAGTGCTTGCAATATCAGGTGTGGTTGTGTGTTCGATGAAAATTCTTGTTTAACGTGTTTAGAGCTCTTTCGGGGTGGGATATACTCCTATTTAACTCACAAGAAGTCTATTTTCAGCTTGTATGAATCTGGAATGGACGATATGCTTCTTGACTGTGGTTGAATTGGGTGGACTTTCAGGGTTTACGATGTTGGTCTTTCAAATTTTGGTCTTTTCTCCTTTGGTTCATTGGATGGGAGCTGTACTTGTATCTCGACATGGCGCGGTATGGTGTTGAGCTCTTTGAAACTCGTTACAAAATTGTGCTGTGGAGATAACAATACTTGTTGCCAAGTTTACAGTAGATATCAGGGAGCTGTTGCCTGTAACTTGTGCATTCAGTTGTGTTGTATACTATGTTTAGGATTGTATGAATCTTGGAGTTAAGTATTTACGGCTTAATTAATTTTTGGCATTCTTGCATGCAGGGACTTACAACTATCCTCATGGTTTGTTACCCATTGATGTCTTTGTTTGATGGAATGACGCTGATGGTGCTTCTTAGTCTCTTATCCATTGTCAAGAACACTCTAGGGGTGAGATTCTTAGTCTCTTGGATAATCCTTTCAGCTGAGAAACTTGGATTTTCATGTATTATGTGAATTTGTGTGGAGTCAGGATTTTGAAATACTGAACCAATCTCATGAGGGTCCTGTGCAGTGCTTGAGTATGGTCTCAGCTTGCCGTAGAACTGAAGCTGAATTTCAATTTTCCTGTCTTTTTCATTCATCCAACTACTCCGAAACTCAAACATCCCCTATTGTATGCAGATGTTGACATTCACAGGCTCTTTCATATTGGTGAATAATTCTGTGGTAAGTTTTAAAATAGATTGATGCTGTTAACGGGTATATATGTTCCCAACACTAATAGGAAATCTGTGTTTTCAATCAAGCGGAATGTTAATTCTAACTAGAATGAACTCCTTCACATGTTGGGAAAGCTCTTAACTTTACCATTACTCACAACTGGACTGTCTTTTCAGTCACAAAACCAGAGAGGAGCTGCAAATGGGCTTGCTATGAGCTTGGTGTCCTTATTTAAAGCTATAGGGCCAGCTGGAGGTGGTAGCATGTAAGTATCACCTTAAATTCCTTTGGTGGCAGTTTTGTTAAGAATTCCCAATTGATCATCTCAGAAAGACACGTTACCTCATAAAGTCATTGATCTCGTCTCAGAAGGAAGGATATATATATATATATATTTGATGAACTTCTGCTATTTTCTTTGACTTTCATGTGATGTGTAATTGTTATGAAATATAGCAAAGTGGGATTTTTTGATTAGCATTTTGCATCTCATTATTGCTGCTTCCAGAAGCTATATTGTGTTCTCTCTATGAATAATTTTGTTTAAATTTTGCATCTTGGCAGTTTTGCATGGTGCCAGAGCCGGCAAAACGCCCGTATTCTTCCAGGTACACTTCCATACTACTTTCTAGAAGATTGTCATTGTAGATATCCATTGTACGAACAGGGGAAGTGTCTTTCGGTAGTAGCGAAGTAGAGTGGTTCACAGTTCCAGCTTGAAGTATTCTTGTTAGTCCAAATAAGGACGGTCTAATGATGTTCCTCTATTCTGTGCTACCATGCAGGGAATCAGTTTGTCTTCTTTGCCCTGGCTGTGGTCTCTTTGATGAGCTGGATATCCACTTTTGAGCCTTTCTTGCCTAGAACTCTTGACAGACCTTTGCTGGAAGAATCAGATAGTGAAACAGAGTAAATAGGGCAGACAATATTCGTCCTCGAATTTCTTCACGTACAGTAGATGATTTTATTCTATGATAATTCAGTAAATCAATGATTTATAGAATGTTTTGTGCAGGCAGGTATAGTTGCCCAGTTGATGTAGTTGCCTAATTCGTTTTCCCCATACATGCCAAATATGCTTTTTTCAAAGCGTGTGCATTGTACAGTGGATCTGACAATTGGAATATACCTTACCATCCCATATTTCCTCATTTTGTTGTCAAGGCCCTCGCGACAATTCTAGTTAACACCCCTGCAAGCCCACACAAAAGCTTCTACTTCGGTTGGGAAAACAATAATATCATATGCACTCGTTTCGGTAGGACCATACACTGGCATGCCTAGTAAATCTGAGCTGTAACACGAATTTTGAATCGGTCCATGTCGAATCTGGCTAGGATTCAGAAGTCCTGTCTTGGCCAACATTGTGTATTGATTCTCTTGCAATGAAATTCTTTCCATTTGTGCCAGAAGAAGAAAAAGAAAAACAAACATTCTACATTTAATATGTTCTGATATCAATATGGATAAAAAAATTTAAGAAGTCCAATACTAATATAAAGAAATTCTAACTTTTGGTTTTAAAACTTTAAAGAGTAGATAGTGTGTCTATTGTTGTTGGTACTAGTATTATACATATACACATACGTGTCAGTTTTCGGAGGCTTTCTAATCATCATTATTTTAAGTAAGAACTTCCTTAACGAATAGATGAATGCTACATGGTTTTATTCAATTATGTTGTTTACATGCATTGGAAAGCACAATTCTTTTCTTTGTGAATTGGGTTGGAAAAATGTATAAGCAAATTTTCAAACCAACACAATTCGTTCTGCGTTGTAAATTATATGTTCTGTCATGTTCAGAATAATCTGACATGACATGGCATGTAACATCTCCATTCCTTGTGGGAAACAACATTTAATAATTTCAAGAGTATGTGAACCGTGTCCACGAATGTTATCTTCGTATTCACTACGAAACATTCTGAAACAGTCTTCATTTGGAGTTCATTCTGCCAATTTGGATGTATGGAGGCTGACGGGGCACCCGAGATTTGTAATCCATCCTCGGGCCTCCTTGGGCGTGAACTAGAAGAGGGGGTATCACCCTGCCATCCAGAGAGTACGGGGTTGAAGCTTAAGGTCTTAATTGGACCATAGAAGAAACGAGTAAGGTTCTTCGTTATACCTCTTGTCACTATTGTTTCCCAGACCTGTACTACAATGCATCGGAGACATTCTTTGCCCTCCATGTTCGATGGTCGAGTGTATCGATACTGTTGCGCCACGGCGATCATGGAGACGACGTCGGGGATTGAGAAGAGAGTCAAGGTTGTGGGGTTGACGGCAAACGTTTGATTGCGAAATTCCTTGACGGGAATTCACGTGTCTTGGTCAATTGGTGGGCAAAACCGAGGGGTGGCTTGCGTTATGAAGGATACACTTTGTACTTCACAATGAATGAGAAATTTTTTGGTTGCGACTCCGTTCGGACCGGGAGCCTTGTTTGATGCCATTGTCTTCACCGCGGCATGCGATTCCGGCTCAATGATCCGCCAGGTCAACTACTAGGCCATGTACTTTGAGATGGAGTGAGTTACTGCTGCAACACAATTTGCCTCCGCCTCATCTTTGTGAGCCTCTCTGTCCCTAGTGTCGAATATGTTGCGGTAGAAATCCAGACTTTCTTCTTTGATTTCTTGATGGCCTATAATGGTTCTTTCCGAATGCGTGCTGAATTTGGCAATGAGATTCCTTGTTTGGCTTGTCATTTACCGCCTGAAAAAATTTACGCACATACTATCCTCGCACGCTCTCCGTCTAATCCGGGCCAAAACTTGTTTGCCTTCTAATTTTTGGGATTTGATGTGTGTTAGTTCTTCTCGGCATCTTTCGACATGATCTTGTCGCTCAGTATCCTCATGGTAGACATGTAGAGCTTGTTGAGCTGCATTGAATGCAGCCTCGGTAGTATGTTCCGTGCAGCATCTCTTGTCAACGAGGCATTTACAATAGGATTTATAAAATATGATGAATTTACGTAATCTGGATAGGAAGGTTGACTTTGCGGCCCTTGGCTCTGACAAGATCTACCAGACTGCTTCTTTGACTTCCCTGTCAGCTAGAAATTTCAAATTTATTTTGTAGTTTGAGATTTGGGGGCCTTGGTCCTAGAGTGTGAGTACGAGCAACACTAGTAGGTGATTTGAGATGGTTGAGTCATTGTGGATTCTGTATCATTGCTTGGTACTGTGCAGGTTGCCATCGGATGTGCCAGAGACGTAGAACGGGTCTAGTCTTCCCAGCACCTTTGCCTCGTCGCTCCTCCTATTATCCCATGAGAAGGGAATCGGATTGGCACATGAGAACTTATCCTTGAGTAAGAAACTGCTTTTGAATTGCTCCCATAATATTTTCTTTTCTTCCATTACAAGGCAGCCGCAGTTTGATGATTTATCACGTGGCCGCTCTACCATATTGAAGTCGCCGCTTACCACCCATCTACAATCCGTTTGGAGTGAGAGTGAAAGATCTTGCTACGATTCACCATGATTATAGGCGTTGTTTGGAGTATAGATGTTCAACAGGCCGAGATCTCCGCCAGCGATGTTGCTTAGTCAAATTTAGTGGGCGCGATTTGGAATCACACCCTGGCGTGTGACAAGAGGAGTGAGTACCTCTTTGAGGAGGATGCTCAATCCTCCTTTTTCGGTTTCTCCGTGCCATCTATGTTATAACCTACTTCTATGTTGATTTCGGCGACTGGAGTGTTGCCTTGGCTGATGTGGGTGCGTGGCCCCTTTGTGAACTCTTGCTCCTACTTCGGCTCCAAAGAGCTGGATGATGTAGGAGATTCCATTTTGAGTCGTTGTCGGATTTGCCACTCCGTGAAGCTATCTCCATTAAACGTCGGCAATTCTCTCTACTCCTCTCGTGTTGTTAAGTTGACATTCAAGTCAATGGGCGGGCAGGGCTCTTGATTCAGGGATGTTAGGCTCCAGGTGGAGAAGGTGCCCCATGTCATGTCCGCCACAGTTTGGTTCTGCTGTTCATCTTGGTCAACCTCAATATTATGTGGAGGGAGATCTGGTAGGCTAGCTTCTTGATCAAGGTTTGTTTTGGAGTCCGTCCGAAATGTTGTAGATGTCACCCTTGGGGATGGAGGTGAAGTGCTAGGCAGATGGCTCGGTATTCCAGAGTATGGTCCCAAGTGTGAGTGATGACTCTTGGTCTCGCAAGAGTTGATCGGCAAGGATTGGCGACGTTGTATTTACTTCTTGCGGTGTGGTGCTGTGTCTTAGTCTGGAGGCATCTGTTGATAAAAGATTGCTCAGATTAGTAGAGTTCTGAACTTGATTAGGTGTGAGATGTTTACCTAGTGATTTTGTAGCAGTAGCACTCTGTGTTGGTAGTTGTGAGCCTGCTGAGGAGGTTGTGTTCTATTCAGCAATGGTGATGTGTGCCACTGTTGTATCATGCGCCCTTGCGATATATTTGGCGATGTGTGTGTGATCTGAATTCAAAGCAAGCAATGGTAGGCCTTTTAGATTCTGCCGTCCTCAGTCTACTGTAATGAACCCATCAGCATCAATGGGTGTTGGAGTTGCTTTGTGAATTTTCTCCGTGTCGTTCAACTTTGTTCTTCAATTATCTTTGTCTCGCTTGCCGTTGCTGGAGTGGTCTCTTGTGTGCAAACCGTTGCTCTTTGCGTTATTATGCAGCGGAATGTTGTTGCTTGAGCTTCTCTGGCACATTACTCTTTTAGGTGGGCAGTCTTTGACTTGATGGTCTACCTCCAGGCAGAGGCAACAACGGATTGGTAGGTTAGCCTAGTCCATTGCCACTGCTGTGATTTTGCTGGACTATCTGCTATTTCCATCTCTGTCTTCCAGCCATGGCTGCTGTCAAAGGCAATACACAAGCGGGGTTCAAAGAACATGGTATTTTTCATGTCCGCCCCAATTACTTTTTCAAGAAGATCTGCAATCTCTAGTGGTACATCATTAAATTTCTAGGGAAAATTCTTGAATGGGATCCAAATAGGAATCAGCATACCTTTGCTATTCTTGGAATCAAATTGTGGAGTCAATGGTTGAAAAATGCAGAGAAAGCCGATATCTCGATACAGCGTGATAAATAGAATTTATTGTACTACTTCCTGGTTTGGTGTACATAGGCAAAAAAAACCCTTCACCAATTTTATTGCTGAAGGTGATTCTGCCGCCATGTAGTTTGGAGTTGAGTCTGTCCAACCACGTTGCAAACTCAAAACTACATAGCGGCAGAATTTGGTTTTGAGTTTGGAGTTGAGTCTGTCGCTATGTAGTTTGGAGTTGAGTTTGTAGTTTGGTTAGGTCGGTTTCCAATGAAGCATGCCATGAGGACATGTTCCTTCATTTAATGTTCCTCCACTACAACTACCTCCTTCAACACATGGATCCTTTTGCGCTTTGTCTTGATTAAAAAACATGCATAATTCCTGGCAAATCCAAGTGGAAGGGACTCGCCTTCGCTGCGCTTGGTTGGGTTGAGCGCCCAATGAGTGGCATTACCAAAACCAAATTTTGCGCTTCAATCATGTGTTCATCATTGTGGCCGTTGAAGTGCTCCCCTCTCTCGCTGTTATGAGTTGTACTTGTGCCCAACTGCATTGCGTTGGCGTAGCTAGTAGAGGCCAATGCATTACGCGGCCCTTTACCCTAACCTTAACCTTGTCTTCGGATGTTCACAACCGTTTGGTGTGTACTAGAGTGGAGTCCTAACTACACTAGCACCCACTGCGGAATTGTGAATTGGTGAGAGATCTATCAATAACCTACACTAAGCTTGTTCATTGATTGTTTTGCAACGCGCATGAGGATGCTTGGACGCCATCGCTTCTCAACGCCTCTCTCTCTCTCACTAGAATTCTTGGAGCCCCATCGCCCACCCCCCCCCCCCTCCCCCAATAAGTAGAATTTCTTTTATACTACAATTGTATTTAGATAATTAAGACTTTTGAAGCAGTATGATTTTTAATTTAATCTTATTCCTAAAATTATGGTTTTTTAAATTTAATCTTATTCCTAAAAGTTTGAAAAATATTTAGAGATATTTAAACTTTAAACATTCACCATTAGAAGTATATATATTACACTAACCAAAACAATTAATTTCAGTGACTTCAGCTTCTAACAATATGAGAAGTTGAACTAACTATTTAATATTTGTGTATAAAGTTTTTGTTGCTACAAAAAATATTGAATTAAAGTATCTCAGGAACATTATTCATCTATTTAAAAATATTGATAATAACCATAGAAAATAAAATTGTATTATTTCGTATTAGAAGTCCTAAATTATTCAGCTTCTGCTGTACTATCGTAGAATGCCAAAAACTACACAAGCATGAATAATAGGTGATACAAAAATTGAACTATTGATGAATTATTACTTCAATGTGTGAAAATTTAGGGAAAAAGAATGCTATGTTTTAAATACAGAAATAGTGTACAATATTTCCTCTAATTTAAAAGCAAGAGTTGATTCATCAGAACCTTAATTCATCACCAAGATTTTAATCCGTGTTCACAATATGTGACTGTAAGAATGGTTACTTTTAGATTACATTTTACGAGTTATGCCACTAGATCGGCATTATTATTATCTACAATGGATCAAAAAAGTTTACTTTGATAATAACAGTCGTATCAAAAATTGTGATGGATGGGGACCACAGTACACATACTTCACCGAAATTATTAAGTTACAAGCTTTAGTTAGAACACTTTACCAATGTCGAGTACAGTAGAAGTAACTCTCATTAATGCCTGTAATTCAATTTTTAATAAAATTTCTCATACTCGACATTTGTAGCTCCAAAAAAAGTTTTATTGTTTAAACAAAAACTCAATTGAATATTCAATCATTAATATGCAAACCAAGCCAAGATTCGGAAAAAGGAGTAAGGTAGGAGCATCAGGATCCCCCAAAGCCTACACGATTAATGGCTGTCACTGAGCTAGTCAAAGTCACAGAATTTTCAAAATGCATCCTCAGCAATCCCATAAATCTACAGAAATCTACATGTCTGATATATTTCTACATAAGTTGTTCCTAAAGTACAGCATGCGAGAAGCTCGGCAAAGTTGAACAGCTTTCCAATATTGCCAATGTTCAATGTCTAAGCCATTTGCGTCTGGTCTTCTTTTTCTCATCCATGGCCTGTAAAAACACACAACATAAATTGTCGTTGTTTGTCTGTCAGAGTACATCCATTTGTTATACCTGTATGAAAGATCCTATGCTGTGAACCAGAGCCCAAGTTCATTACAATGATGAACATATGTAGTCGAAGTTACAAGGCAGAAACGCTAGACCTACTGTACCGATGAATGAACAAACACTAGGTATGTAATCATGATAAGACTGGATTCCACGAAAAGGGTTAGTTTTAAACCAACAGAAATGTTCTACTTTTGAAGTATACTAAATATAGACATTACATGGGCATATGTAATGAGTTACTTACAGCCTTATGAAAAGCTCGAAAAGTTAGCACTGCCATATCCCGTGTCCTGTAAATCCAGCCAAACACAATCCTTATTTAGTGAGTCTAAAAGAGAAGATTCCATTTCAAAGAAAAATATATAAATGTAATGAAAATGTTTTAGAATATTTTTAAAAATCACACCCACCGAGGATCGCGCAACTCCAGGTAGTTTTCCCTGCCGCTAACCTCTCTGCTGATGACACACTGAAGTAGCTCTCCACATGGTATTCTAATCTGCAATTCCGAAAAACGGACCTTAATGCTCCGGTTATTCGCAGAAACAATACCTTGTAACTTCGACTACATAATGGACGTCATTTTTTTGGATTCGACAAGTCAGTCCACATGAGAAAAAACAAAGCTGAATGGGCTAAGAGATTCAGTATCAATAGACGTACAAGAACATCAGGAGAATATTTTTCATTGATGGTCAGTTTACGGCTGCTATTCCGCCTCAATTCAAAATTAGAGCGTCTCAAAACTAGTGTTGCTGGCTCTGATGCATCTTCAGTTGTTCCTTCTTGAATCTGTGAAGAGACAAGAAACTTAGTAAGTCCATCACTAGGACGAAGATTGGTCCGCAATTAGAAAAGGCACTACACCGACCGAATTGAAACATATCTGAAAAGGTTTCGAACCCGAAAAGAGGAGGTCCTATCTTTAGTCACAATAAGTAAAATTGTCAAAAATGTGACAAAAATTTAATGGAGCTCTTACCAGCAAATTTACTTCAAATGAGGCATGACCGTTTGTCATGTAGGAATTAATTTGATCCTGCATCATTGGATCTACAAAGACAACAAGAACATTTACTATAATGCACACAGAATCCTTCAGCCTACAACATACGTACGCGTTGAGAGAAACAATTAGAGCAAACCAACGGAGAGTTCCACATCAAGACGCTTTATAATACTGAAACCCTAAGTTGCGCTTACCTCCACTGATCCAATTGCCGTCGTTTGCCATGACAGTTACCAAATCCCCCTATGAGGTACCCCACATGTAACAGGAACAAGTATTAAGATTCAGATACAATGATGCAGATTCTCCATGCTGTCAGAAATTGCATTAAAGATTTGAAATCTTCAATTAATTCGATAAAATCTGTAAACTATCGTTAACACGTTGAGTCATCGACTCGGTACGAGAGACTGCTTCTTACCCTGCGACCACGCTCATCCATAGGAACACATTCGATAGCTACCATATTGTCGTAATCATCAGCAGTAATAGTGTACTCTGGTTGTGCTGCACCTGTGATCACAATTTTCATTTTTTGAATCATCAGGAAATGCCAAGTGATACAGATGAAATGCTAAGTAACGTATTCGGACACCTAGAGACACCATTTTAAAGAGAGTCAAGGGAAGATAGAACTGAAGTAGGACTGAGGTTGATTATCATCGTTGACATGCCTTATTCAACACAACTGATTTAACAGAGTGTAGGACATAATTCTCATGAAAAATGAAATTTTACGTGCGGTACACAAGTCCCTCCATAATGCAGTTACGAACATACAGCTGCTAGTAAAGCATTTAACATAAACAGTACAAATCTCGTATCGACTGTACACAAAACACATACCTTCAATCATAGCAGCAGTTCCATCTTGATTATGCCGAACCCACTATATGAACGCCAGAACACCCACAACACAGGGGATTAACGATTATAGGGAGAGTTGTACATTTTACGGGACTACAGGATATAGTTTAGTTGAATCCCAAAGAACTGATACAGCAACCGCGCCTACAAACACTGCGCTGGACGAGAATACTGCGAGCAAAAAGACGGGTATTTTATAATAAAAATGTGGGCCATATTTCTGAATTACAACAACAAAAGTACTTCATTGGATGAATTGATCACTTCATTGGGTACCCGAAGAACTAATAAATTCATCGGTCCCTCCTGTATTTTACTAATTGCTTGAACCAAGTTGTGTAAAGCGATCATGTAAAAACAGCAACTTCAGTAAAAGTTGGTAACCTATAGACCAATTTTTTTTATCGATGCATAAACAGGTATGCAGAATGTGAAACAAATCGATAACTATTTAAGGTTATCAACTACTGACAAACACAAAAACATGTTCTTGTCACCTCCGAGCCCTTTGTTTTCAAAATCATTCTCATAAACAATCTCACACTGAAATATTAAAATACACTAGGTCCATCAAAAAAGATATGTCACGAGGTAAAGTAAAGTTCCCATCGGTTCAATGCATTCTTCTGAACTGATTATTATACTCTAATCCACACCTGTTATCAATAAACATTGTGCTTGATGGGTGGTTCCGGTTACTCCATATGGCAACAATGGATAGCAAATATAGATTTCAGTCACCACTCTAGTACTCAAAATAGCAGAGTTTCAGAACATCTACTTGCACCCACAAGAGTAAAGAATACCTGGAAGATGCAAAGAGACGTGCCGTTGATAGAGTGGCCACATGCAGTAAGTCGACCGCCTAGGACAGCATCTCCCACTATGCGTAGGCCAACAATACCTGGAAGTGGATCACTATCTGTGCAAAAAATCACACGTTGTAAAAGCAACCCATCATACATAGCTACACAACTGTATTCAAATGCCTTCAAAGAGAACAAAAGGGTGTTCGATTGTTAGTCACTGGCCAGAACTAGGAAATTCCCCTTCCCATACTCCCCCCAGCTGAGGATTTCGAACCTCCAACACGTCGTGAACAGAACACAAGATAGTCCCCAAAGTTTGCTAATAGCGAACAATAACTAAGTACCTTCAAAGCTTGGAGAGTTGGGCTCTTCAGGCAAAGAAGGGAGTTGCGGCGATGTCGACACAGCAAAATCAGGTCTACCAAGTGGTGGATCCCCTCGCATATCTGCTCCGTTGTACGTAAGCTCGTCCCTCTCCAAGTCATCTAAGCCTTCATTTGGTCTGGCACTGACTGACTCATGAGGCACAATAGCACCCGCTTCTGCTGGAGGTCTATTTACACCCATATAAACCACGTAGAATGAGATGAGTTACCTACATCGTTAAAACTAAAACCAGTCATTTTATTCAATATTACCAAGGGACGGACCACCACAAATGCTGGAGATGAAGAATCATCGGCAAGCTAGTAGCAATACATAAAAGTAGAATGTTAAATCAAGTTACAGAAAAGTTAGTCAGGCGAGTTACTCTTGCTCACTGGGGCCCGCAGGATGCCCATCCTGATCTCGTGACCCACCATATCGAGGAGAAGAAACAACTGAGTCCCAACTGGGCCTTCCTGGTCGCACCTGTTGGACTGGGGATGCTGGTCTTTGAGAGTACGACGGCACAATCTCCAGACCATGGCTCTGTTCAACCAGTCCACCAGTCTACTATCTTAAATTAGATACCACAGCGTTGTCTATTGTGTAACAAAGCACAAAACTGCATTTAAGTGCATAAAAAAATGCCACATAATTGAAGGGACAACTTCGACTTAATAATAAAAATTGACAGCACTTAAGTGTCTCTAAATCCTAATATAATACGGATTTTAAACTCACCTAATAGAGATAAATCATCAAACAAGAATCGCAACCAAAAATTTACGATGGATATGAGGTGTACAGTATCTAAAAATGCGCAAACCCTCATGGAAGTACCTGATGAAATGTAGGAGAATGAGGGGGAGGATTATATGACTGTTGCGTCGGGTAAGGAGGTTGATACGGTTGAGGGTAAAACTGTGGGTCTTTCACTTTACTCTACATCACACAATCCACATCCCACACAAAAAAACACAAAAAAAGAAAACCATATTAAGTCGACAAAATCAGACATCATGAATATGCACCAAATATGCATGATACGTACGAGTAAAAGGCATAGCAGCAGGACTCGCTGTGACCATCTTGAAACTGTCGGAAGTACCTCATAAAGCTGCAGCTCTGACCGTAACTTTTGCACCAGTATCTGTGAAAAAGTTACAAACAACGTCGGAAATGAAGAGAAACTGCAATGAACAAATTGCCACCAGATAATCCCAGAAAATTCACCCACACAAAAGCAAGGTTCTAGTTGCAGGCAAGTTTTAAATTGAAATTACATACTCCAGGAATACACAAAACAGAAAAGAGTACAGATATAGATGCATACGCGCGCGCGCGCACACACACATATTGGACGAACCTTGATGTGGCTAACCATTGAATGTGCATCCGAAACCGGAGGTTGCAAGTCAAATTCCGCTAAAAGGGGCATCAAGTTTTGAACATAGGTAGTCCTCTCCTGTTCCGCTACCTGGGGCATCCAAATTAAATTCCAGTTATACCTTACCGCGGATAGAAAGGTCTATTACAGAATATATGCACATGAAAAAGCCATAGGCTACCAGCCTGGCAAACAGAACTACAAGTTAGTGCAAGAAGAATGAAACCTGAAGTGCATAGGTCAACCGTATATTCTCCTCAAGCACGTTCTGCCGGTACGATAAGGCTTTTGATGCTGCATCAACGAGGCTCTGCTGCTGCTGATCGTAAGCCTGTTCATGAGTGAGAAAAGCGTATTAGCGGCTACGTGGAACCCAGTATATAAAAGTAAAATAAAATAAAATGAAGTTGGGTGTGAGTCATTAGACTACTTACAAGACGTAGCTCCGCAACTCGCCGCTCAAGTATCCTCTTTTCTTTAAGAAGTTCGATTTCCTGATTGCCAAACCAATAACTCACTGCATGAGATGAATGTAGTAATGCTAGACACCCAAACAGAGGACGCCCACGAACAACGCGACTTACTACAGAATCAGTTCCAGTCATATTTATGGCTTAAGATATAACAATTGATTTGGCCTCCACTGACAATAGTAAGGTAGGTCGTTGTTCGTTTTGAACTTTAACGATCTTTAAATAAACTACTGCAGTTTGAATCGTTGATTAATTAATAACCTGACCATTCAAGTATAGATCAACTAATGACACATCTGAAAAACAACAAGTCTGTAGAGCAGAGGCAGTCTTGGCGAGTTTAATAAGAGAAAAATAGGCAAGCTAATTTAAGTAAAGCCAATGAAATAATAGACAACACAGCGAATATATTCCACATAGAATTTTGCATGAAATCACTTATACAAACAAGGAAATTATCATAGGCACAAGAAAACCTTCATTGAAGCTTCCACAAGTCGACTTTTCAAGATGCTTGGATTTAACTCCTCCTCCGAGGGCCTCGCCATCATTTCCTAAGTATTGAAAAGAGAGCCCCAACGATACAACTGCATACTTAACAATCCGATAACAAAACTGTTGCTGACTTACTAAAGCATTGCCAGTAATAAAATATAATGCATGTCGTGTAGCAACCTTGAAAACTTACCAAATCATCACTTATTGCCCACAAATAAACACCAACTTCTTGCTAATAGTATAAAACTAAATACTATCCTCCACGAGTGAAGGAGAATCTCTCTTAGAAACTGCCAGCATATGCAACATTTCCTTTAAAATACGTCACAGGCTGAAAACAAGCACCTGTGAACGTGGATAGCCATCCTGATTTTTGGAACCTTGTAACTCAGCAGAAGAGTCTAGTCCCTGATATCCATCTCGCCGAGAGTCTAACTCAGAATCCCTCCTTCGTCTGTACAGGTTATCAAAATGCAAATGTTTAATTCAAATTGTCTTACAGAAGTAGAAGGAGAACACTATCACACATAATCTCCAAGCCATTTTGTCACTTCAAGTTGTAGAGAAAAGGTCTTACGAAAGAGGAGAAACAGGACACCCATTGTCAGCAGCAGATAATACATTGGATCGGCTATGAGTAAGGCCATTTTCCAATCCTCCACAGATACCACCATTGTCATGCCCTTTGTGCTCTGCTGTCCCATTTCGATAATCGGATGGGCGAACTAACGCTAACTCTCCATGGAAGCTTCGATACCGTCCATGAGAGGGCTGTGAGGAACTGTAGCCCTCCTGTGCACCTTGCTTCTGCTTGTTGATTTTCTGTAAGGCACGACAAAATGGTTCATATTTCTTACAAGAGAATAATTTTGACGTCAAACAATTTGTATTCCAAGCAAAACCCTGAATGACGTTCAGATTCACTTGGACAAAGTGAAGCGTTCCGTCTTCTGAAGAAAGAAAATAAGATTAAAATGAACCCGCTTCCAATATCCTAAAAAAGATGTCCCCTACTTCACAACCACCACAGGGCAACCAAAGTAAATAAGTGTATACATAATCATCGAACTTACACAGGACTGAAGCTCCGACTCAGCTGCTTGCAAGGCCCTTGTTAATCGTTCGGTTTCTTCCGCCTTCAGAATTACAGTACAATCATTGTAAAGAAAAAAAAATGTAACTACCCAAATCATCACTCTGTAAATTAGCCACTAACAACTCTTCCATTAGAGGATACCAATTGCACGACAGTGCACATTTTCTATGCTACAACTTTAGAGCAGATTCACATTATTGTTCAATGGGGTCGTAATATGTTCATACGAACTTCACGTAGAGCATATATAAAAGAGGTTACAGCATAAAAATTAAGATAGGAGTGCTAATAAACTTGTCGACTCTCGTATTCGAATATGAACCTATGCAAGAACGGATAAGATCAGACTTTCTCTTAGAAGAGTAGACTGTATTAAAATAGTTGAGCCAATCCACATTCAACACCATAAAATGATTCAAAGTTTCAATCTAAGTAAACCAAGGCGGTTGCGGCTAACACCTGAGTGAGAATTGTGACTTCTGCTGCCTCTATGAGTTCCACAAGATCCTTAACCTGAAACAAACCATCGCACACCTCATCAAATGGATGAAACACTGCAAATGCTACAACTCAGCAAGTATCGAATAAGAGTAATCGTATTGAGGCACGATAAATAAACTCCTATCATACTGCCAATTGAGGGGTTGGAGACCTGAATTTTGTAAGCACTCGCTCAAACATTACTTCACATTCATGTAATAGCATGATTATCATCCCCTTCAAACATAAGATGCACTTCAGCTTCGAGGGAAAGACGGGCTGGAAGAATGTGAACCTGGTTAGGACTATCGACATTCGAGGCGCTGTCCATTGAACCAAGCCTTTTTCGAAACTCCCCATTGCCAGAATTCGAGTGTTCATCCGGAGGCCGAAAGCCATTCTCTCCAACATAATCCCTTCCCGAACTAGCTACTGCAGTGTATGCCATTGCTTCTCTTACCGCAACCTCTACCTACATTTCAAGAAAATTAATGTACAGAACTAAAAGTTAGATATCGCGATTCATACGAGTTGCAATTGAAATAAAATGAGTTTCAAATTTTAACATTCACAAACATCGAGCAGAAGAGGTGTCATGCAGCATGCTATCTCGAGGACAGCCATGCAGGATGGGTGGCGGAAGAAGGCGTGATTTTCTGCTAGCGAAACAGCTGGTCGCGGCGTTGAGCTGATCTAAATAAATAAAAACTGCCGAAAGTTCACAAGCTCTGCGAACCAAATATCGATTAACGGGATCTAATAGAATCCCTACGTTCTAGTTTGTAGATGGACGACGGAACTCAGTGCAATACTCACACACCCCTTCTTTGAATCGCATATTATTCCACCCTCAAATTAAGTGAAGCTCCGGCTTCACGATCGAACCCGCAATCACCGCGGAAAACAACGGAGAGTACGAAACAAGGAACACAGTTCACCATCTCAATCGCATTCTACACCACTACCTTCTCCTAATCAACTCCCACAATGCACTTAATCCCACGGACGCAACAAACCCGAAGCCTACACACGCAAAAACTTCGCAGGCTCCAGTACCAATCATCCACCATCACCTACAGAGCCATCTCAGTCGCGAGCATATACCTAGGAGAAACGAAAGCATGACACTTCGTCGACCCGCAGCAGCAACAGCAGTGGCATCCAACCTCACGAGTTAATCTAGGCTCCAAGGTAACAGCAGCACGTTCGCGGGCATGAGCATCCTCCACACAGAACATGTAGGGTTTAGAAGACAACAAAGAGAGATCTTGCCGCCCGACTACCAAAGGGTGTCAATGTCGCAGCGTTGGCAATGACCACCACCACCACCACCGAGGAAGAGAGGGAGGGAGGGAGAGGCGCAGCAGCAGGAACGGAGACCAAGAGAATTGTGCGCAACGCTGAAGAGGAGGAGGAGGAGCGAGTGAGGGAGACAGAGTCCTCCCCCTCACAACCAGTCCTCTCTCGGGCGACGGAGACGGAGGCAGTGGTCTCTCTCACTCTCACTCTTGCTGCAGCTCCGGTCTGATCATTCCGCCGCTCACTTACCCCCCCTCCCCCTACCCTTTGGTAACCTCTCTTTTTAACCCCCCCCCCCCCCCCCCCCGTGTTTCCTTTTGTTTTGTTTTACCATGCCAGCTCGCCTTTTCGAGGTTTCCGAGCTGGACCCAGTCGGACAGATAATTTTAGACTTTGTTCTGGGAATGGGTATCTGGTAAAGCTGCATGATATTTCCATAATGAGTTACTTTGATTCGGATTCGTATCATTTGGTTGAGTGTGACAGCGAGTGTTTTGTTGAGTTGGGTAAGGGACGAAGTCAGTTTTCGTTGCCTTTCATGTACAACCCACAGTGGTTTTGTGTTGTTATTATCATTTTGACCAGTTTGATCTTTTTGATTTCTTTTAAAATAGAAATAAATAACATTAATCAAGTTTTTAAAAATCCTTGTAGTCAAGATTAAAGGGTAATTGGTTTTCAATAGTTTTTTCACTTTTGATTTTTTCAAAACTATTTCCAGGGTTGAAAGAAAAATAAAAGCAAAGTAAAGTAAAGCAAGTAATACAATTTTTGTTACAAGGAAAGTTGAGCAACACAATTGGCAAGCTCTAAGTTTCAAAAATAGAAAAAAGCTGTTTTTTAACATGGAATATTGCATGGTTATTGCCACATAGAAAATAAATAATTGTTAAGGTATTTATATAATAATATAGACATTGTTTCCAGTATTAATATACAAATCATACTGATGTTTGATATATATATTTATATATATATGTATATATATAGAGAGAGAGAGAGAGAGAGAGAGAAAAAACAAAAAAAACAAACAAACATATAAATATAAGTTTAAAATATAATAATAACAACTTTTGCAAAATAAATAAAGAAGTTTAATTATTAGAAGTGTAAGAAAAACATATGCCATAATAAGATGATCAAAAGTAAGGAGACAAAAAAAACACTAATAATTCACAAGGATATCAAATTTTTAGAGCACTTAGATTGGAACAAAAAAACACACAATTATATCCAACAAAATATTTAGTAGGTGAACCACTTCTTCTACTGATTTGAGACAATATTAATTTTATTTTATTTTATTTTTTATTATATAAAACATAGAAAAATAAAAATTAATGATAATAGTCTTTGAACTTTTTTTTAAAAAAAAATAAAATTAAAACACATTATTATTAGTTGCTTTGTATGAGAGTTAAAGAAGAGGCTGAGAAATCTATGTCGATTGCCTTTTAACTTTAATTAACCTATTTAAGATAAGAAATATAAAAAATCATTGTAACAAAATATATATGAAAGATATAATATGAAAGATTTTCGTTTTGTCTTTGTATAGCTTAACTACAAGGTTGTAAAATTTTTACTAATAAGATCTTAATTTTATGGATCAATTAGATGGACTTCTCTTTTTTTACTGTGTAGATACCTCTCCCTATGTCATTTATCCCCCATATACACCCTTGCAAAAAATTTAAAAAATGAAAAAAAAAATAGTAGTTTTTTTTTTAAATGATTAGATTTTATTTTATAAGTCTCTTATTTAAATCAAATTCAAAAAATGCAACCAATAGAGAAATAATGTTTTGATGTTTAAAAACCAAGTAGACATAATCTTATAAATAGATAAATATATATATATATAATTACAACAATAATTATGGATTGAATCTAGAAGTTTTTAAAAAATTATGAATATTGAAAAATTCATTCTAAATAAACATATACTAAAACAAACAATTAAATATACATATGCCAGTAGTAAGCAAAACAATGTTTATCAATTAAAATTGCCAAATGTTTTACACTAGTCAATGATGAAAATCACAATGTGTCACGGACACAGAAATACAGACTCGAGATCTAATAAGAAGTTCAAGAAGAACTAGCAAGAACTATATTAATCAGATGAATATAAGAACAACACCAGAGAGGTGAGCTAGAACTCCAAGAGATGTGTTGTCAAGAGTGAAGAACTCTTTAGCCTCGATTCCAATATATACTCCTATTTAGGAAGCTTCTCAAGCAACTTCTACCAACTAAGAAGCTTCTAGAAGGTTTTAGAAACTTGCTTCTAGAAGGTTCTAAGGACTATGTCCTTAACATCTTCTACCAACTAAGAAGCTTCTAGAAGGTTCCAGAGACTTGCTTCTAGAAGGTTCTAGAAACTTGTCTCTAGAAGGTTCTAGAAACTTGGCTTTAGAAGGTTCTAGAAACTATGTCCCTAACATCACCCCCTCCTTTAGCTTCGAGGTCTCTGAGAAGTAATGTTGTTGTTAATCAGTACCAACGCAAGAAAATGAAGATCTGTCGCATAACGTCTACTATGAACTCCAACTGTTATTCATGAGGCAAGTGGTTCATCGGCCCTTGAAGCCAACGGTAGTGGCCCACTTCTTCAACTTCTGACCAAGCATGAACTTCTATGTCTTCATTGTGAAATTGTCCTACAAATACACCTTCTGGCTGACCATCGTAAGCAAACTCGGACTCAAATACAATCACCAAAGATTGGTTACTCGGTATCCTCCGTCGTCGTCATGGTGTAGGCGGTTCTTCATCTCGGGGTCGCCTTTGTGAGCTAGTCGGTTGAGATAATCTGACTGGCATAGTACCTATCTCTTGGCTATCCATATCAGAAGACCAAACTATGGCTCCTGAAAAAATCCTATTTTATCTTAGAGAAAATAACTACATCAACTACGAATTTTGGTGGTGCTCTCTCCCTTTCTTATATTCTTGGGTGAGCAAGCTTCAAAAGAAAGCTATCGTCGAACTAGCTTAGGTTTATGAGGATGTTGTTGATGAAACTCCTGTACCTTTTGCGGCGCATTGGCGAGATTTTCAGCTGGCTCCCACGTTCGCTCATTAATGTTGTAGCCGCACCAATGAACAAGATACTCTAACTTGTCCCACCTTTGTCGTGAATCCAGCACCTTTTCAACCTCGTATTCCTTGTGGTTCTCGATCTCAATACTAGGTGGCGGACATTGCACTCTTCCAGGAAAAGACGACTCTTGATAAGGCTCCAACAGAGAAACATGAAAGATTGGATGTACCTTCATAGAAGCCGGTAATTTCAAACGGTACACCACTGGATTGATTTGCTTCTGGATGATAAATGGTCCCAATCTTCGATAGTCCAACTTATCACATGGTCGCTTGGTCTTGATATTCCGTCGAAGAAGCCATGTTTTATCTCCAATTTTGAAAGTAGGTGCTTGATTCCGATATCTATCTATAGACGCCTTGTAGGATTCTTGAGCGGATTGTAATTGAAGCTTCAACGTATTTTGAAGCTCTGATAGTTGTTTCACAAATCCTTCAACTGTTGGATTATTACTTATTGACGGACTCAATAAATCAAGCTTCGGATGATACCTATAGTTGGAAAAGAATGGTGTGTATTGAGTCGACGCATGGAGGGTGTTGTTATATGCAAACTTCACTAGCGATAGATATGTGGTTGAATCGTCTTGCTGATAGTTGATGCTGTATCATAAGTATTGTTCCAAGACTTGGTTCACCAGTTCCATTTGGCCGTCAATTTGAGGATGAAAAGCCAAAGAAAGCTTGATATCCACCTTCAGTATCTCAAAGAGAGATTTCCAAAATTTTGATACGAACTGGGTTCCTCGATCTAATACGATATCATCTGGTAGTCCATGATATCGATACACATTATCGAGAAAGAGTCTTGCTGTGACTTCACTGAACGATGTCTTCTTGCAAGGGACAAAGTGCGCCATCTTTGTAAGCCGATCTATCATGACAAAGATGCTGTCAAATGAGTTCGATGATGGCAGGTCCGTGATGAAGTCCATGGAAATTGAAGACCATGGTCGACATGGAATCGTCAATGGCTGTAGGAGTCCATAAGGGCGATGCTGAGGATTCTTGGATCTTGAACAGATGTCGCAAGAGACGACAAAATCTTTCACATCCTTTCATATTTGAGGCCACAAAAAATCTCAAGAAATAAGCTCCAAGGTCTTGTTGAATCCAAAATGTCCCATAACTGGAAAATCATGGCGAGATTGAAGAACTCGGAGTCGTGTTGGTCATTTTGGAATATATAACCGCTCCTCAAAGTATAAAAGATCTCCTTCCACCTTGAACTTGTCGTCATTGGCACGCTCCTTAATATCAATGGCTACTGAATCTTCAATGGTCATGGCACATACCTGATTCGGGAAGTCAGCATCAATTGGCACAATAGTAGCGCAAAGCCGAAATTGCTTTGGCTTCAACAATGTCATACATTGTTGATCAAACGCTACTTCTCCAGCCTTTGGTACAAGATACGATCTCCTCGATAAGGCATCAGATAGTCCTTACTGCTTTCCAGGTTGATAAGTGATAACAAAATCGAACCTAGATAGCAACATACTCCACCGAGCTTGACGTCGATTTAGAACTTGAGCCGACATGAAATACTCCAAATTCTTGTGATCTGTGTATACGATCAGTGGGTGTGTAGCTCCTTCAAGAAAGTGATGCCATTCTTAGAAAGAATCCACTATAACAAGAAGTTCCTTATCGTGGATCTCATAATTGATTTCAGCAGTAGAGAACTTTCGAAAATAGAATGCAACCAAATGGAGCTTCTTGTCTTCTCCCATTTGTGAAAGCACAGCTCCCAAAGCAAAATCCGAAGCATCAGTTTCTAAATAAAAGGCCTTTGTAAAGTCTAGATGTACCAAGATTGGAGCCGTAGTAAATGCGGTCTTCAGGACTTGAAACGCCTTCTCCGCTAGAGGTCCCCATTCCAGCTTAACCTTGCATGTCAACCGAGTGAGAGGAGCAGCAACTTGAGAGTAATTCTTGATGAAGATCTGATAGAAGTTGGCAAAACCAACAAAGCATTGTACGTCTCTAACCGTCTTCGGAACATCCCAGGACACGATTGCTTCCACCTTCTTAGGGTCCATCTTCAAGCCTTCCGTAGTCACAATGAACCCCAGAAACTCCATCTCTATTTGGTAAAATAAACACTTCTCCAAC